ATTCGAATCTCTGCATCAAGCATGCAAAACCCAGCAAATGACTTCCAGAGACCCACCCTCTCACCCTGCTCACCTGCCAGGCAGCTTTGTTTGTGCTCCTTGTGTAATTCTCCTTTTGATCTTTTTTTTTTTTTCTTTTTTGGACACCAGTGCCAAGTTCATCTGCATATTTTAACCAGCCAATATTCATATCCTGCGATCTGAAAGGTTCCTGTGTGTGGCCTCAGGCCAGCCATGGACGCTGTTGAAATTCCTTCCCGACAATGTGTTTCTGAATGCTCTGCCTCATTTGCTGGTCAGAAAGTTTCTCTGGGACATGCTTCTGGCAGAAGAAACACTACAACAAGAGATGGTGATTCTGCTTGGTTAAAGCAAACACTCTGCAAGAGGTTTTGACTTGCAAAAGGTTTTGATTAGAGCTATATATGTATTTATGCCTACTTGCAAAGTTAAAATAAATAAATCCCCATGGGCATCAGCAGATGCAGATTCTGATGCCCGGAACTTATGTCCTCCTTCTCTGTTATCCCCTCCCTTCCTGTCCTTTCTTCTCCTCTCCCTCTTTCACTTCTTTTTCTATCTCTTCTCTTTTTCTTCCTTTCTCCTCCTCTTCTCCCCTCCCTTCCCTGTCTCTTTTCTTTTCCCATTTCCCACTCTCTCCCCGCCCTCCTAGCCTCTTTCTTTAATCCTTCCTATTTCTCAATCCCTTTCCCCTTCCATTCTCTTCCCTCCTCTTTCATATCTCATCTTTCAATCCCTTCCTACTCTTCTCCTTCCTGCTTACTAGCTCATTCATACTCTCTCCTTTGCTCCTCATCTTTGTCCTCCTCTTCCACCTCTCCATTTCTCTTTGTAGTATTAGGGATTGAACCATAGTCTTGTGTGTTTGTCTGTGTGTGTATGTGAGTAAGTGTGTGTGCCAGGCAAATACTCCATCACTGAGCTAAATAACCAGCTCTCTTGGTTTTTCTTTTTCTTTTTCTTTTTCTTTTTCTTTTTCTCTTCCTTTCTTCCTTCCTTCCTTCCTTCCTTCCTTCCTTCCTTCCTTCCTTCCTTCCTTCCTTCCTCTCTCTCTCTCTCTTTTTTCTTGAGACAGGGTTTTTTCTGGGTAGCCTTGGCTGTCCTGGACTCACTTTGTAGACCAGACTGGACTTGAACTCACAGAGATTCCTCCTGCCTCTGCCTCTCAAGAGTACTGGGAATACAGGCATGTGCCACCATGCCCAGCGATTTTTGAGATTTTTTAACATGGGGTCTTACCAAGTTGGCCAGGCTGGTCTTGAACTCATTCATTAGCCCATATTAGCCTTGAACTTGTGATCTTTCTTTCTCAGCCTTGTAAGTAGCTAGGGCAATAGGCCTGCACCATCAGACCTGGCTTGAGTTGGTTTCTGTGTCCCTTTTCCATTTACATATTATATTATTGGTTGCCCATAGTATTTCTGTACACTTTAGCTCTTTCTTACATACTAGCCCTATAAGACACTCTTCCTATGTATTTCTGGTCCTTGCCCGAGATTCAACCAATTTCCCAAATCTCCCTGGTGCCTTACATAGGACAAGAGTATTAGAAACTACCCATGCACCTGTACTTTTGGTCTCGGGGTATCATTGCATCTTTTCCTTCATAGTGGAGTGAAAAAAGATACATGTATAGAGTAATCCAGTATAAACGTGTGTGTGTGTGTGTGTGTGTGTGTGTGTTTGTATCTGTCTGTTTCCTTAACTATGCATGAGTTCCTACTGCTAGAAAGTTTTTAAACTAGGACTAAATTTAAAGTACTGAGGAGTAGAATGAAGAACAGATGCAGAAGAACCAGCAGCCAAGGAAAGCCACCCCAGGCTCGGGTACCATTTTGAGAGGACCGCAATCCTTTGCTGCCATGGCTTCGTGGCTTTCTACTTTTTAAGAGAGATTTGGTGAAAATGGGCTGAGGTTCTCTCCCTGGGATTCTGTGCTGCAGACCTGGGGAGGCCAGCTGTCTTCTCTGTTGGTCTTCACCTTTGTGTTTTCCTGTAAGCAAGGGAGGGGGCAATTGTGATTGTAAAATGGAAACAGTGCCCTCTCTTCTCTGCATTGACATTATAGCTACGTTGCTCAGCACCATATAGGAGCCAGGTAGCCAGGACCAACTTGGAGCATGCCTGGAGCCTGTGATTTCAATGGGGAAGAGGGAGGTTAATTAACATGGGGTAGAAATTTGAAGACTGGGCTTAGGGAAGGCCTAGGCACCACTCCATTACCTCCTCTCTTCTCTAACTCCATTTCTCCAGTGAGAAATGTCTCCATAGGCTCATGTGTTTGAGCACTTGGTCCCCACTGTTGGTGCTGTTTTGAGGAGGTGCACCTTGCTGGAGAAAAGACATCACTGAGGGTAGTATTGGGGGGTTATAGCTCCACCCCTACTTCCTATTCTTTCTTCCTGCTTCCTGTTTGTGGATGAAATGGGACCAGCTGGTTTCCTGTCCCTGCCACCACATCTGCTACCACGCCACAGGTTCTCCACGCCATGCGAATGTTATCCCTCTAGAACTACAAGCTAAAATAAACCTTTTCTTCCTTAAGTTGCTTTTAGTCTTGGCCTTTTATCACAGCAACGAAATAGTAACCAACAGACCCCATTACTCTTATCTGGAAGAAATTATGTGTGTCCTGTCACTGTATGTAAGCTGTGGGTCTCAGCCTTCCTAACTCTGCAACCCTTTATACAGTTCCTCATGTGCTAACCACCAACCATAAAATTATTTTCGGCGCTACTTCATAGCTGTAGTTTTGCTACGGTTATGTATCATAATGTAAAAATCTGATATGCAGGATGTCTAATATCTGACCCCTATGAAAGGGCCATTTGCCCCTCCCCTAAAAAAGGTTATGCTTCCCAAGTTGAAAATGGCTGACTTATTGGCTTTTTAGACTGTGTATTGCCCTGTAGCCCAGGTTGCTTTTGAAATGGCATCACTCCCTCACATCTGAGCCTCCCGAGTCTTGGGATTACAGGTGGAAGCCACCACACCTGGCTTTCTCTTGTCATGCAAACCTTGTCTCTGTGTGATGGTTATTGCTACAGATTCTAGACTCACTGGGGAGACAGGGCTCTGGGCATCCAGTGGGGATTACCTTGATTATACTAACTGGTATGGGAAGACCCATCCTACTTGTGACCAGGACCATTCCCTGGGCAGGGGTCCTGCACTGTCTAACAAGGGGAAACGATTGAGCAGCTGTGTGCATTTCCCTATCTGTTCCCTGACTGTGCATGTGACGTGATCAGCTGCCTAAAGCTCCTGCTACCTTGCCGTTCCTACCACAATTGACTGTACTTGAAATGTGTGCTTAAAAAAAAGAAAAACAACCTTTTTTATTTTTATTTTTTTTCTTTATTCTTTTTTATTTCTTTTTTTTCTTTTAAAACCTTTTTTAAAAGTTGCTTTAAAATAACACACACACATATATATATATATATATATATATATATATATATATGTACATGCGGACATAGAATAATGTGTGTGTGTATTATTGGCTCTGTTCCTCATAGGAAGCAGTCTACACCATTTTTTTCTTTCTGAGACTGTGTGACTGTGCTTAATATTATACATTCTAGGTCCATCCATTTTTCTTAAAACATTTTAAGTTTCAGTTTTCCTTAGAGCTAAATAATATTCCATTTCACACACACACCAGATTTTCATTATCCATTTATTTGTTGATCGACATCTAGGTTGATTCCTGTTCTTTGCTATAGCAAATAAAGCAGCAACAAACATGGGGTTGAAAACAACTTTATGGCAGGATATGGAGTTCTCTGGGCATATACCCAGGAGGAAAGTAGCTGGGTTGTGTGGCAGCTCTATTTTCAACTTTTAAAGAAATCTCCAAACTGATCTGCAAAATGACTGAATTGATTTGGCCACCCACAACAGTGAGTATGGGCTCCTCTCTATATATATCCTTCGCAACATTTCCTGTCAGACTTATTTACAATAGCAATTCTGACGGTGAGAACAGAGTTTTATTTTGCATTTCCCTGGCTGCCTAGATATCACATTTTTATTTCTCCTTCTTCTTCTTCTTCTTCTTCTTCTTCTTCTTCTTCTTCTTCTTCTTCTTCTCTCTCTCTCTCTCTCTCTCTCTCTCTCTCTCTCTGTGTGTGTCTTCAGTTCATTTGCCCATTTGTTGATCGGCAGTTTTACCTCTTTGCCATTTGATTTCTGCAATTCTTTGTAAGTCCTGGATATTACTGGCTTGTCTGAAGTGTAGCTGGCACAGATTTTCACCTTTTCTGTGCTCTGTCTGTTAACTCGGCAGATCCCTTTGCTGTCCAGAACTTTTTATTTTCATGCAGTCTCATCAGTTGATACTTGTTGTCCTATGTTGTTGATGTTCTATTCAAAAAGTTCTTGCTAGCCCCAGCATTCGGAAGAGTATTCCCTATGTTTTCTTCTAGAAGTTTCAGTGTTTCTGGCTATAAGTTAAGATCTTTAATCAATTTGAATTGATATTTGTATGAGGTTAAATATACGAATCTAATTTCACCCTCCTTCAGGCAGAAATTCAGTTTTTTAAGCACCGTTTGTTGAACAGGTCTACCCTTTTTCCAGTGTATGTTTTGGTCCCCTTTGTCAAAAATTAAGTGGTTGCTTAGTGTTCATTGCTTTCAACAGTATTTTATCAGAGCAAACTGAAAGAAACTAAGGCAGCCTCTTCGGAAAGTGAAATAAACTCCTTTTTCACTTCAGTTGCAACATAAATGAAGCTAGAACAGGATGGAATCTCAGCCTTGCTGTGGAGAAGGTCTGTGAGGGAAGGTAGCTGTGGTGAGTCCATTCAAGCTTTGCCAGTTGTTCCAAGAGTGTAAGGGTTAGAAAGAAAGAACTACAACTCCCAGGATATCACTCGGCTAATCTATCACCTTGCCCCGCCCCTAGCCACGCCCCAGTTCGTCGATCTGTATAAGAAGGCAGAATGGCCCAACGGCGCGCACAGCGCAGTGGCGGCGCAGAAAGTGTGCGGTTCTCGCTGCTTCGGGCTGGACGTTGCGGCTAGGCGCCTCTAGGGCTTTGCTGCCTGGCGAGCGTCCTGTCTGTACGTCCCAATCCCCGCGGACGTACCAACCCGAGGCTTCGGTGGGATATTCTGGATTTTTTTCTAGCGCGGATCGTGTGTTCGCTCTGGCGATGCTCATAGAAGAAAGGCACAGAGCTGTTCGACGAGGCGGGATGCGCTGGTCAGAGTCCTCGGTGGCTTCCTCCGGCTGCTCTCGGCGCCGGTCGGCTCCTGGAGACCGCGCTGCAGCCGCCGCTACCCACACGGGTCCGCGGCGCGGTGGCGGCGCTTTGGCTTAGGGCGCCCGATGGACAGTGGGGAAAGGGTTCGGGGCGCCGGCTCCCCTAACGTGGATTACTTGGTGTTTATCAGCTGGATTTAGCAGTCCCACGACCTCGTCTCCAGCTGTGGATTGTCTTTCCGCCTCCCGGCGCCTCTCCCACCTGGGGGTAAGTTTCTCTGCGGCGCGACGTTGTGGATTTGATTTGCCTCCTCCCGCCTTGTGTTGCTTTTTTGAAGCTTTCAGGATTGGAATTTTGTTGTAGTTTACGTCTACGGGGTCGTTTTAGCAACCCTTCAGGTGGAACCGATCAGCTCAGATCTCTGTAGTCAGCGGCCGTTCTGGGTCATCGTCCTGTCCTTCAGCCTGCGGCGTGGCCAAGCCCTTGGTTACCCCGCGCGGGGGTAGATTTAGTAGAGGAAGCGCCTGCCTCCTTGGCACTTGGCTTTTCGCTGGGGTGGTCTTTCGGGACCCTTTGCTTTGCGAGCCGTGCCTCTCCAGGCAGTGACCCGTTGCACGCAGCGGGCTGCTGGGGCATAGTGTTAGCAAGAGGCTGGGCAGCGGCGGGGGCGCTCGGCGGATACCGCAATTTTTGGAAGACTGTGCAGCTGATGGAGGGATGCGTATTGGCAGGAATTTGGTCCAGTGTGTACATCCACCACCCTTCTCCCTTTTGTGCAGCTTGTATCATGAAGAGGACTTTTGGCTTAGGTCTTGAGACATAACTGTAAATGAAATGAATCTGGACTCAGTAGCTTTCTTCCCTCCGTGTCCTTTTGTGATTGCGTTGTAGTGGGGAGGTTGGTACCTGTCACCATGTAGCCAGAGAGTAGGTGTTTGTTGAATGAATGACTGAGCTACCCCACCCTAAATTACACCAGGTTCTTCTGTTTCCTCCTCTCTCCTTGGCTCTCACCTTTAATTCCAGAACCTTCCTCCTGGACGTGGTTTCCTGGGGATACTTTCCAGATATGGGAGAGTGGATTCCCTCTCCACTCCTCCATCCACCATCCACCCCTGTCAGCAGCCTTTAGGCTTTCTTTTGGAACAAGTGTATGGTGACCCATTTCCTACCCAGAACTCCCTCCAACTCAAAAAGTTACTCAGTCAGGGATTTGGCTTTGGTCAGTGCTCAGGGGCCTTGAGCTCTCAGTCAGCACCTGCTCAGCGAGGGAGGGCTAAGCAGCATAGGAAGAAAAAAAAAAAAACAATTAAAAAAAGTTTTGTGAGTCCCAACTGTCCTGGGGTCCTGCTGCCCCTGGTTCCAGCCAGGTCCTTACATACTGTCCAGACTGGTATAGTATGGTTCCCCAGTGGCCATCCTCCTCCTGCCCAGTTCTCTGCCTCAGTCTGACCCTAGGAGGGGCACATTGGAAACATTCTCATTGACAAAGGGTCCACAGAATGTCGCCCCCACTCCACCCCCACTCTCCCCATCTCCATATGAGGAGAAACTACAGAATGGTGCAGCTGTCAGAAAAACATCCAGTTGCTACCGTGCTGGGAGCTGCACCACTCTTCTCCCTGCAGAAATCCACGGTATTCATGACTTTGTTTCTGGCTCCTGTGCCCCAGCCTGTACACACACACACACACACACACACACACACACACACACACACACATGCTGCCAGTGGTGACTCGTAGTCCTGCTGTATTCTCCTGCAGCCACCAAGCAATCATTTGTGTGGTTACCCAGCCTGCTGTTGGACTCTTCAGTATTTCCAGGCTTACTCCAGCGATCATCATCTGCTGATGAGGGTCCCTTTAGACTATTTGTCTGCATTTGGGAGGATGTTTCTCAAGATTTTTCTCAAAATTGTCCTCTTTAAGTCAGTTGGTTGACTGTTGGAGGAGCGTTTCGAGAGGAAGACATTTCTGAGTGGGCTTGGAGGCAAAGGGCACCACTCATCTCTTCATAAGCCTTCCTCTAACGGAGGGGACACAGAGGCACAGGGCTAAAAACTACAGAAAGACTGCCGAGTAAATGCGAGGCTTGCTCCTTTCCCAAGGGTCAACGCTGTCAGGACCGTTCACTCGAAATTCTCCTTAAAGGTATGCTATCAATTGCTTCAGTGACACTGTAGATCCAGGTTTGCTAGGCAGCAAGATTTATCCCATTGCCTTTTCTTTAAAATTAACTTCTGAATTTAGCATGGACCTAAACTTATAGGAAAGATGCAAATGCCACCCCTCCTGTCTCCTCTCCCCAGTTTCCTCACGTGTTAGCATCAGGCACACACCATGGCATGGTGGTCAGGCCCCAGGACACCAAAAAGGATCCAGGGCTTCCGACTCACAGGCCTTGGGCTGATTCCCCTGTTATCCCACTGATGCTTCTCCCTGCTCATCCTATGCGCTACAGAGCCATCTTGTGAAAAATGGAGACTTTGGGAGCACAACAGGTGGGCTTTGTCCTGAGAAGGCCTTGAAATGGGGAGGCCACCTCCAGCTCCTCTCTGTGTTCACTCACCCATCCTGTGTGACAGCCGCTGACCAGGATCAGGACACCCCCCAACCCCTGCGTGCACCCCAAATGGAAGAACCATCTCTCTGTACCCCCCGCTCCACCAAACTTCCACTGGGCATGTTGTCGAGTGAAAATTGGGTTATTAGCCGATCTGTCCCAACATGTTCTCAGAGGCAGATGGATAACATCCGGCGTGCGTGAGAGGAGCTGCTGAGCAGCCTACTCCATGGTTGAGAAGTACGTGGTTGCAGGCCTTGCACAGGTGACTCACGACACAGGAGTGGCAGGTGTGGCAGGCCCTCTGCGTGCAAACCTAGCCGAGGCTGCATTTCCTGGTCACCTGGGCAGAGCTAAAGGGACTGACAGCCTTGCTCCTACCTTTGTGGATCGAAGGATTTCTGAGTAAGGGAGTCTGTCTTTCTGTAAGAGATTTCTTTTGGGGGGTGAAGGGAGTCAGCATGAAGGACTTTGGGGATGAGGGCTTTCGTGTACAAGAACACATATGAGAAGGCTGATTCTTGGCCAAAGGGAAGCCTATGTGGAGTCTCTTCCCACCAGAAGCCCCTCTGGTGACCAAACTCTCTTTCTCTTCCTCCAGAAAGCCTCCCTGGCTTTCTTGCCTCACTGATCTCCTCCAATCTCCACAGAGATTCTATGAGCCTAAGCCTTGGACCCCACAATATGGATAGATAATCTACACATTAGAGCTACCTGCTTCCAGCATCACTCAGCCTTTTCCATCGTGGAGTGGCTGGCCTCACAGAGGGTATGTGACCTTTGCGCGAGGTCAAGCAGTTTAGAGGGTCCTTCAGTCTCAGTAGAACACACTTCTGAGGTTCTGACTGCCTCAACTTGAGCTTTCTTTGAGCTCCCTGAACCTCCCAACCACCTGCAGTGCTTGATTGTTTTTTGAGACAAGGTCTCACTCTGTGGCCCAGGCAGGCCTTGACCTGGAAACAATCCTCCTGCCTCAGCTTTCTGAGTGCTTAAACGTCGTGAGCCACCACACCCAGTTACCCTGTAGTTTGTAATCAGAGAAATCTCCATTCTGCTACTACTCTAACGCTCCATGAGCAAGGCCCAAGCATTTCCTGTTCCCAGCCCCCTCCAGTGAGGGTCATCGAAGGAAGTGTTAAGGGGAGAGGGAGAGGGGTGCCACGACTAAACAGCCTCGGGATGGGCACAGCTGTCCATATGTGCTCTGTTGCTCTCCTCAGGGACTCATCTTTGAACCCCACCCAAGAAGCCACAGCTCTTCCCGGGTCCAGCTCAGACTGTCCCCTAGCCCACCAGACTGTTCCCTGTCCTTCACACTGTGTGGTTTGCTTGAGAAGGAATGGCCTGGAGAACTTGCTTAGCCCTGTTCCCACTTCCTCCAACTTAGCTCTGTTTTCATTTATCAGGGGCCCAGCAGGCGGCTTGATGGACCGCCATGCCTTTCTAATGTGCTCGTGAGGGAGCAGCTGGCCAGCTGAAGCCTAGATCCAGCCTCTCCCCTGCTGAAGCTTCCTGGCCACAAATCCCCTTTGCTCCGCCTCCTCCAGGCAGCCTTCGTGGCTTTCCCTTCACTTACTCCAGACTCCTGTGCTTGGGTCACTTGTTTGAAAGTTTGCTTTTTTTAACGGAGACCTTTCAGATTCAGGCGTCCTTTGTCCTTAGCGAGACAGTTGTGCTGTGGGTAAGTAACAAGCGCTTTGGGGACCTGCAGGCGCACAGCGGATCTGCAGCTCTTCTCCCGTGTGTGTGAGGCCCTGGAGACTTGGAAGGTGCCCCCAACAAGGCTGCTTTGCACGGGCGTGCACACAGAGACTGTGACCTTTGGTTAAGACCAAAGTCAACATAGTCAACATCCGTGACCTAATGGAGCCAATGGCATCTCCTATACCAAATTATTCTCATGTTGGGACAGCTCCTTCCTGCCATAGCCCAGGCTGGCCTTGACTGTAACATCCTCTTGCTTGTGTCACTGAGTGTTGACCTGTTAGGCAGGAGCCCCCACAACCCAGCTCCCACACTGAGAGAACATGAAGTTCCCTGCACAAGAGGATGGGATTGGACGCCCCTCTGAATAGCTTCCCATCAGTTAGGCCGCTGGCTAAGTACATTCTGCTCAACAGTCCTTCCAGTCCTTCCAGCTTTGCTTTCTAGACTGCGTTTGCGATGCCTGTGGGGGTGGGGAGGGGCCCCTACACAATACCATTCCTGTTCCATTCCATGAAAGCCCCAAAGCCCAGAGGAACCCTGCAACCTGCAGGAATGCTGAAGTAGCAAGTTTCCATCCAAGAATTCTTTCTGGACCGTGAATCATCATCACCTCCTCCCTTATTCGGTTTGTTGCTACAGGTCTTTGCACGGAAGTCTTGAAGCCAGGTGCCTTTGTGTGTGGTTAGACAGAAGTGCCTATGTTTGGGGGGAGCGTGGGGGGGGCTGTAGTTCTACAACCCTAGAAGTAGATCGAACCCCTCACCCCACCTTCTAAGCTACTGAGCTTAGCAGAGACTCATCTTTAGGGTCTCTTGCACATCCATTTCTTCCGCTTAACAAGTGGCCCCCACCTCATTTAACTTGGTCTGTTTGCTCTTCTTTGCTTCCACTGGACTGAGAAGCCTGGGTAGGTCAGGATGGGAGGGCTAACCTTGTCTGCCCTCCAGTTCCAGCTGGCATGCTCTGTGAGCTGTCTGTGGAGCAGAGCAGTTGCT